CCCTGTTTTTGTAGCATCCCAAAGGCAGGAGTCACGGGTGAAGTTTGTAACATGACTCATGAGTGGGCAGGTCCTACATCTCAGGTCCCAAACATGGTCAGAACACAACCTGTACAAAATGACAGCTTGTAATTTTCAGTATAAACAGAATCAAACAAGTTTACTTTAAATAGAGAGATGAATTGTTATTGTTTTTCTTAAATTTATAATGAGTAATGAGAGACTATTGAGAACAAGTTATAGAAAAATTTTTTGACAACTTTTTTATTGGCCCAACACAAACTTGCAGTAACTACAAGTTAGATCTACTTTTAGTCCAGCTTATGTTCCCTTTCCATCCCCTGGAGCAAGAGATGACAGGAAGGAGAAAGCCCTGAGTAGGAATGAGGGTGTAGAGGTTCCAACAAGGTCTTTTTTTTTTTTTTTCATATTCTGTAGTATTAAAAAGATTGACTTCTGTTTCCTTTACAGTATGTACATAAAATACAAGTGGACTTCATAAACCTTGCATTTGCTCATTTTAGACGTCTTTGTGAGGCACTTAGATGTTTGATCCCAAAGGTAACTAAGTGTACACTGTAGCTTAAGGGATATTTGCAAATGAAACTGACCCACATCCCTGTTTTTGTAGCATCCCAAAGGTAGGAGTCACAGGTGAAGTTTGTATCACAACTCATGAGTGGACAGGTCCTAGATCTCAGGTTCCAAACATGGTCAGAACAAAACCTGCACAAAATGACAGCTTGTAATTTTCAGTTTAATCAGAATCAAACAAGTTTACTTTAAATAGAGAGATGAATTGTTATTGTTTTTCTCTTTCTTTATAGCAAAATGTTTTGACAACTTTTTTATTGGTCCAATCCAAACTTACATGGACTACAAGCTAGATCCACTTTTTACTCCAGCTTATGTTCCCCTTCCCATCCCTCGAGCAAGAGATGAGAGGAAGGAGAAAGCCCTGAGTGGGAATGAGGGTGTAGAGGTGCCAACAAAGTCTCTTTTTTCATTTTCTGTGGTGCTAAAAAGATTGACTTCTGTTTCCTTTACAGGTATAGGTATACTCCACAAGATGCAGTCACTATTTCTTTAATTGCACTTTTCAATTTGTTTTCCTTTCTCATTCAAAGTTTCCTGAATTACAAGCCTATTCAGCCTGTACCAGAATTTTCTTTATTGGAATAAGGGCTGGTACAATCAATAATGAAAGAGTCACTCTGGAGACAATGAGTGGAGAATGGTTAGATATGCCACTGAACTGTAGAGAAAGCCTGGTCTTATCCACAGGACCAGTTCATTTGCAACTTAAGAGGCCATGGGATGTAGCTGATGATGATGTAGGTGGTGTGGCAGTTGTTAAGTATGAAGCTGGGGAAGCTACTTGTGAGGGACTGATTTTAAGTAAGTGATCAGAATTATGCATATGTTATAAGGCTTACTGCATGACACAAACAATAGAGCAGCTGAAAATTTTATTCCCCAATATCTGTCATGTCAGATATCAGCAATTTTATATGCCAATCACAGCAGTTGGTGATAATTGCAATCCCCGCACCAGACACACCTGATGATTTTCCCTGATTGCTGTGACAGGCATATAAAATTGCCAGGTGACTAGCAGTAGATGTCCCATATTGTGCCAATCTAGCCTAGTTCAAAAGCATGTCAAAACACAACTGATCTAAGTTATTGAGTTATGTGATACATATGCAAGCCATAGAGAGGCAAACTATGTATGGCCAACAATAAGATCATTACAATAACCTTTTTTTCATACTTATAACCAAGTATGTTGTGAAAATAAAACTTACTTCAGAAACTGGGAAGAAGATCTTGAACTGAAGTCTAACTTATGATTAGTGTGCAAAGACCTAGTCAGCACTGAAACAAATTTCCAGCATTGCAATAATTTAAGTTGTGAGATGTACAACCTGTGCCTTTAAATTTAAAAGTAATTAACCAAGTAAAGTTTAAGTTATTAAATGTTTATATTGCTTGAGATTGAGAACCAATGTCTAAATGAGGGATTTAGATTTTTCTTAGTTCTCATCAAATGTTTTCAAACAGGTTAATATGTTACTATCCTGAATAGAAATTACTGGCAACACAGTTACCTTTGCCAAAGTATGCTACAGTAACTGTTACACCTTGCAATTTTTATATTTGATGGGATAAATTCACCAAAAAAACTTGTTAACCCTTTCACTCCCAAGATCTGATTAGTAATTCTCCTTACTATCTGCCATACAATTCTTATGATGTTAATTCAGAGAATTTGGTATTGGATCAACTAATAATTCTATGATTGATGTTCTTCTCTATTATCATCACCTGCCTGCTTGATATTGTATTGATATTGTAAGGAGAAATTCTGTCTTGGTCACTTCTGGGAGTGAAAGGGTTAAATCTGCACCAAAAAATGAGGAAATCAATTTTGTGACCATGTTACAGATTTCAATTTTCTTCAAGATACACCATGACCTGCAATTTTAGTCAGTTCTGTCACTGTTAATTTGCAGTCTTTGCTTTTGTCTTTGGTTTTTTGCAATTTTGCCCTGTATTAGGTAACTACCTTGTTATTAGCAGATTAGATTACAGTAAGCAGGGGTTTCAACATTTTTTGAAGTGGGCATCAGACAGCAAAAGTAGATGACTGTGAAAAGTTCATTAAGGGTTAGAAGGTAATTGTTTTGACCAGAGTAACTGGGGACTTGTTTTAAAGTAGCTGGCAGAACTCTGGTGGTCACCAGCTTGTTTTAAAATCCCTGAGTAAGCCTGACCTCAGAACATTTTGAGAAAATTAGCTTCCTCATCTACCCTGCAGTTACCATTTTGTATTTTTATACTGTTTTCAGAGTATAAACCATATGTCATATCAAGAGATGAAGAACCGGTTAAGATACAGAATGCATCTGGTGAGATGATTCCAATTCATCATGTTTTTGAACCGGAACCAGATAAAATACGTTGGAAAGTCTTGTTTGACACTTGCAATGAAGTAGACACTGGCATATCCAGAGAGCTTATGGAGGAGTTGAACCTGCAAGCTGATCCCAACAAGAAAAAGAAAGCTAAAGTAATAGGAGGAGGGTCATGTGAGTTCCAAACCATACAAATCGTGCTTGTAATTCGAGGACACCATTTTAGTGTTTGTGGATTGGTTGATGCCGTGGCTAAGGATACTAATCTTCTTGTGGGAATGGATATCATTCAGCAGCTGTATGATCTAGGGTATACTATTGGTAACTAATGTATGGTATTTTTTAAAATAATTTCTAAAATGATGAATGTTCTTTGCAGCAAACTACCAATCAATATGAAGGTTGTTTATTGATGCACATGTGCATCAGATCTCTTTGCTGAACTTGGGATGTTCAAATTTTTTTGGTTGTAAGGTATATTTTTGTCTTTATGTGACCATTTGATAGAATTCTGAAGCTGCTCTTAATGTTAGAAAGCACGAAACATGTTGCATTATGCAGGCTTACCAATGAATAAAGCTTCCACATTTTTTCTCCTGGACAGTCAGAATGCAAACTTAGGTAGTTCTCCAAGTTCTTGGTAATTGATTATTTACAAAGGCCACAAGTTGATCTGTTTCTATACTGTTTTGGGTTTTACCCTATTTTGAAATCTAGCACTCCTGCTATAATCACCTTGTGCTAGGTTAATATTGCTTCTCTTCAATCACCAGCAATTATACCATCGTAATACAGTACATGACAAATACCTTGAAAGTCAATATGATGTAGTGCATTGAGAATTTTAGAACATCTGTTTATTATTTTAAATATACTTAATTAGCTAACGTCTTCATACTGAACAGTAGTGATGTTGATTTAGAGTTTACATATTGTACAATGTTTGCCATCATATTGATGTAAAATGTGTAGAAAATGGAATCAAATTCCAAGAATTGTAAATAAATTATGTTCTTATGATAGTTATAGTTTTAAAATAAAGCTTTTGAAGCTCTGTTGTTGAGAGTTTGAATCAAACAGGCATAATTCCTGGCCAATAAAACCTAATCAGTGATGGGTTTTGGGAACCATACAAGTAATTATTTCCATGCTGTCTTACCATTTTACTTGAGAACTGGTCCTTTGGGTGTCATGCATTATGTAGTATGTGAAATATTTTACCTTTCATGCTCATTGTCATCATTGTCACCATCATCATTGTGGTGACAGGGGTTAAGGTCTGGGCCAGACGTCCACTCCCCATTTAAAGTGATGCATCTCCTGTGGACTTTCCAGGTGTAGAAACTGCTGCATGATGACTGCCTGGTTAGCTAGGCAAGAGCTCACCAACATATGACCTCTCAAAAATTACTGTGCCAGTAGCTGAGTGCTCCCATTGCATCCCTGTTATTACATCATCACTATCATCATTATTAAGATTATCAACCCTTGCCCATTAAAATCATCACTATTAATAACATATTTTTATTGTTATTATTATTATTATTATTATTATCAATATTTTTATTATTATTATTATTATTATCATCATTAAAGGGTTGATGTACAATTATTGAAAAAGATATTGTGGGCTCAAACTATCTCTCCTTTGCCTTGAAAGTTCCAGCCACTCCTACCTTTCCAGAAAATAACATTTCCCAGAGAAAAAATTGCACAGCTTGCAGTTACAACCTTGATTCTGTTACTAATTTAGATTCTGTTTAATCTTCGTGATGTGTCCGGTTTGAAGGATACTGAGTGTTGCTCCTTAGCTTATGTTGATCCCAACAGAACAGAACTTAGCAATGACGACGTCCTTCCTTTTCCAGTGAGTAAATCATTTCCACCACCATGTGCAGTAAATTTGACTACAGAGAAGTGGAAAATGATCCCAAAGAGAGGGTTGTAAAGGGAGCCTTCTTATTCTCTATTGGTTTGTATTCTTTTACAAAGATCTAGTAAACGCATAATTACTCAATCATTATAAAGTCAAAAGTATCGACGTGAAATACAATTTTATTAATCATTGTAGTGATTAAATGGCTCTCTTTGAAACTATGATATCCCGTCAAAAATTTTAAAAAAAGCTATACACGAAAACTTCCATTAAGCTATAGAATTATAGATAGTGGATTGACCAAAATAGTTACAGTTCTTTTAGAGGCCGGAACACATTATGAATTGTTCTGTGACTGTTGGAAATAGCTGAAATTGTTGTGCCAATGTTTCAATGTTTTCGCGAGACATGTTACTGATAGTTGGAAACAGGTGAAATTGTTGCCATGAGTTTTACAAATGGTGTTTTCAAGGTGCGCTATGTTGCAGATGGAAAGAACGTAGAAACGGATCAACTCTTAAGATTAACCCTTCACATCCTAGCATCAGTGTGCATATTCTCCATACTATTCTCTATACATTTGCTATAGCACTGACAAAGAGAATTTGCAAAACAATCAAGATCTGTGATAATTCCCTTTATTCTCATGTCCTTAATGTTTGATTCAGCTGTGATTCTCAGGAAAAATTAGATGTTGGTCAGTTTAAGGAATAAAGGGTTAAAGAAGGAGAAAGGAACACATGGCGCATCATGTCATTAAAATTGCGGAAACATGTTGAAATCTGTTGTGCACAATGCGAGCTAGAGATTTTGGAGACACGATCAAATTGTTTCTTATAGTGTTATAAGTAGGGAAGAGCAAATGAAATATAGTGGGGGCTATGTCATAGGTGGTGAAAACACATGGAGTTTTGCTGTATGTGATGATAAAGATAATTAGGCACTGAGAAATTTCGTGTAGCGTCAAAGATTTCACCGCAAGCGGTAGCTAATTTCACTCCCAACCTTTTTGGTGATTTGTAGCGATTCTGTATTTCGTAATCGCACAGTCCAGCAAAGAATGCATATTGCTTTCGCACAATCGACTTTCAAAAACTATTAAATTTACGCCTCAAAACTCTTTACATCCCTCTATTGTAGGGTCCTTTTTGCATGTGATATAATCACGTATGTGTTCTTCGAGATACCTCAGGGGGAACTCCCCCTGTCGAAGTAGCTCGTAATGGAACTCCTCTAAATTAAAATTTCGCCCCAGTTCCCTCTCGGCAATGCCTCTGACACGGGAAATTTCCATTTGGCCAATCATGTAGCTTGTGACAAATCCCGGTACGCTTTGCGAGCGCAGGACGTCTTTCTTTGCCAGGTCAGTATTGTCTTCCCACACGTATTCATTATACATATCCAGCACGGTTATTTCTGGCGTTTGATTAAAATTCAGATCAATATCCACGATGGCACGAAGAGCGGCTAACAGCTGTGATAAAAAGAGAACATTGAAGTTGCATCCAAACGTTATTTATTCACGGGCCTTACAATTAACAAAATAGTCCAACTCTTAAATAAAGATTAGTCTATGGGAAGTGCGCACGAACGACTTTATTCACGAGTTGCGATGCATCAAAAAAGCCAGCAAACGAGTGAGGTTTTTGATGCATCGTAACGAGTGAATAAAAATCGTTCAAGCACTTTCCATAGTCCATTGTATGTTGTTTTAATGTCATACATACTCAGATTTTTTTGTCACTGACCGACACATTTCAAAGACTGGAAGCGGACGACTGTTACAATACATTTCCAATCAAAGACACAAACGATAGTGCTTCACAGTGTAAATCTCAGTATGTATGTAATAATTTCCGTTTTGCGACAACCTTTTCCCAATTTGATACAATGACAGTAGGGACCAGTCGTCACTCAAACTTGGAACGGGATTTTTTTTTATACCTGATAGTAAATCATGCCGTATCTTTGCAGCAATATTTCTTTGTCTTGATTGTCTGAGTAGAGGTTCGTGTCTTGTGGCAGCAGTTGATACTCCACGTAGGTTGTCCAGCCCTCAGTGAACCCTGGGAAATAATTTGCTTTCTCCAGCCAGTGAATCGGATCGTTGCAGCTGTCTTCAAAATACTCTATGTAACTATGCACCTACACAGATATAAAGGGCGATTGTTAGACTGACCAAAAACAGGAATTCTCCCTACCATACCAGTGCATTTTCAGTGATACAAGAAAAGAGAAAACAGAAGATCGACTTCTAAGACGTGATGAGGTCTTGGGGACTGGGCTTGATTTATCGCCGGGGGGGAGTGGCGTTAGAGGATTTTGGTGCAGTGACGATAAAATTTACCTGATCCACCCCTTAAGGCTCTGCAGTATTCCTATGATTCCCCACCCCGGTCGTTGATAGTTAATTGGAGGTCGGTTTTCAATAGTCTCCCTTCATACTCTGTTGGCGACGTCGGATCCCCCCCTCCTGCCTTCCTCTCGGAAGACGAGTGCTCCTACCATATTCTCGCCCTTTGAAAAATTTAATCAATTTGTTGCACTTCGCTGAAAAGCCCCTACCTCTAAATGGTGTCCAGGGAGTTGTTCATGGGCTGTGGTCGTAAATTCTGTCCATTTTGGGCCAAAATTGTCCGCGAAAAACGGCAAACCTTGTGTAGCTTTAACCTTGCAGTCTTTAGAGCCTGGCACATATCCGTGAAAGCGAACATGCGGATGAAACCAAGATATAACATCCACTGGACAGACAGGAACTGTGTTTTTAGGGCCACTGCGATAAAATAGTGGTTTGTAGACTGGGCCAATATTGTTTTTCATCGTCTGTTATGATAAACAAAGAAGTTATACACTTTTTATAAATTAGCGCTACTCATCCTGACAAAAATGGTAGAAGATTTTATCTTGGAAATTACGCTTACTTCAACAGTGTTTTCAATCCACTTCTGCATTGCTTTCCACCGCTCAGGACAATACCCCTGTGCGCTCTTGTCGTCATAACATTTTATGTAGGCATTTTCGTCACTCTCATTGGCAGGAAACGGTTTATTGTTAAACGACATGTTGGAATGGCGTAACACGGCTTTGAAGGCGGTGATGGCTGTCCTATTGTCCTGTTCACCAGTATACCTTTTGGCCACATCAACAGCCTTTGGAAATTTAAAAGGATTTCTTAAGTTACTTTCTGTCCTTAGAGACATCTTCATAGTTATCAAAGTTATCATTGCAATAAAAGCATTTATTAAGTTGGATGCTTTACATTCCACTTCAAACTTCGAAGACACCTCCAATAGGTTTCAGGCTAATAACATAAAGATCAAGGTCCTTTCGGTAAGTTTACTGCAGTTGCCATCAATTCGGATTTTTTTGTGTTATCTACTCGTTAAATGACTCCGCGCAATGTATGTATATGCAAACTGATTCAAAATAAAATAGCAAAGAGCGGGGAAGGCCGGGTGACAACTGAAAAAAATCATACTAACTGCGAATGGAAAACTTAAGAGAAGGCTCCATATTTCAAGATTCAAGATGTACAAACTGTGAAGTTAGAAGGAAATCTATGTTTTGCAAGACCGTTTATCAAACCAATGCCACGGTTTTCCCATGACATGTGTTTTGTTATATTGATAAACAGTACACAAAATTTTCATTCCTTGTGAGCGCAGGTATATTTTTCGCCTGAGGGGAGGGGGGCGGGAATCGAAGGATTTTGGTTATGTCACATTACAATTTACCTGATCTCCTCATAGGGCTCTGCAATATTTTCATGATTCCTCTCTCTCTCTCCACTCCCCACTCTCAATTCTCCACAGTCCCCCTTTACACTCTTACTCCCCCTGTTTCTCATGAATACGTGTGACCTCCCCCCCCCGCCCAAAAAAAAATCGCCTCCAGGTAACTAATGATTATTTCCTTCGATATCCTCAACTCCTCATTTCAAACGTTCCTCACCTGCTTATACAACTCATTCAACCTCGTCCAAGCTCTCTCCCTTAGATCAGCAGGTGAAATGTCAAGAGTTGCAAAGTATTTCATCAGTGTTTGATACGTCTTTGGTCCACTCAGCTCCTCTCCAGTGGGGAGTCGATGGAATGCTAACTGACTTGTGTCTGGGATGTCATCGTAATACAGAAAACGGAGAGGTACTTTTCCTAGACCGCTAATGATGTTCTCATCCGAAGGGCAGTTCCTCAAGTACTCGTGCTCAAGGAACCTTAAAAAAAAGGTTAACAGTAAATAGATTGAAAGTGAAGCCTCGCACTTATCCCGCTCGTATATAAAAAGCAAAATTTATACGCCTGCTCTATAGGTTCGGACTGCAGTGAAGAAAATTTTATGTAGTAAATGCTACGTGACAGATGTTTTTGCAACCTCCCCCGGATAGGGGAGTTTTTGTCCATCGTTAAATTTTGAGAACGTTCTTGTTCGTTGAGGACAAACGGACAGTCTTGCTCTGTCCTTTGTGAGATATGAGCCAACGAGTTAAAATCATCGGTTGGTATTGTTTTGAATTCCAAGTCCTCTGCCTAAGTTTCATCAATTCATTTCATTTCGTTGATTTGGTGTATGTGTCGTTAGATCTACACTCGTCAGTGTTTCGAAGTATTTATCTATCCGTTATATACCAAGGAAGTAAAGGAAATGATCATGAAGCTTGGATCTTTACCTCAACATATGCACAACAGCTTTTGCGATGTTGTGCACCAGAGACCACCTAAAGTATTCAGTCACGTTCATCAAGAATACCTCCTTCCAACTATCGTTGACTCTCTTTGACAGATGCTCGAAATAGCTAGTGTTCAATAGAATCTTCGCAAATGGCTCATCATAGATTGCTGCAATCGAGATTTTAAAATATACTTCTGATTATTCTTTGAAATCAAGCTTTTACCACCATGAAAACAAACCAAAGGAAAAAATAACCCAGGGGGTCGTCTTTTCGATTCAAAAGGGACGGGGAACGGGGGGCGTTTATCGATTAGAGAGGTTTTTTTTGGTTGCCCATCCAAACACACTTCAATGTTTCTTTTACTCCCTAACTGAGCAAACTTATCCAATGCACATCAATTGAAAAATGTCTTGGTTTTGTTCCTCATTACGATCTCGTTGCCACCAAACTTGGTGACGCATTGGTGTAATGGTCAGTGCACTGGACTCCGGGTAGAGAGGCCTGGGTTCGAAACCTGGCCGGGACAATGCGTTGTGTTCTTGGGCAAGACAATTTACTCTGACAGTGCCCCTCTCAAGGCCACACTTAATTTGGAGCCCCGTTCTGTTGTGTGTCCCGCACCTTCATTGTGAAAGCGATTTAAAAAAACTGTTTACGATCTTAATAACTTTACTCAGACCTACCCTTAACACGGATGGTCATGGAAACACAAAGAAAAGTAACTAGCTTGCACTAACCAGCCTCGTTTTTCAGAGCATAGGCACGGTATTTTTGGTACTTGATGACGAATAAACCAGCTTTACAAGCTTCGTTGGTTTTCACATAACCTGTTCGCGCTCCTAGCTTCCAGTTCTCCACGTACCGATTGAACGTGCGATTATAACCCTCAAACAGATCCTTAAGCTTCTCAAGTTCGGTCATGTTTCGAGGCTTGAAATGATCAAAAACCCGATTTAAGTGATAAAATACGTCACAAACAGGCTGCCAACAGAATATGTCGGGTCCAAGCAGCCAATCACCGTTGTAGTAATCTTGAAAGTACGGAGACCATCCGAAATTGTTCTCTAATATGGTATTAGCCACATGTACCGCCTTGCGCTCTCTTAACTTCAGCAGAGTTTTATTAAATTTCAACGCATTTAACTCCCGGCGTAGCTCCATAGCCACGTCAGTCCGGTTTTTGGTAGCATTCGGGGTTGGATCGTAAGGCCGGAAATACATTCGGATATCTTCGGGTTTCACTCGTGCCATCTGGTATATCTTCTCAGGATGAAGTTCGAAGAAATACTGTCGATGAATTTTTTTAAGCACGTTTGTGAGGTTAGTGCGATTGGCTTCTTCTGATCCGAGGCATGGCGATGTGTATGGCTTTGGTGGAGGGATTTTTGCAGCGAAGAAGAAGATCATGACGAGAATGAAACAAATCAGCAAAGGGACTATGACCATAAAAAGAATGGGCACCAGTTTACGAGATTTCTTTTTCGTCGTAAAGTTTTTGGAGCCAAACCCAACGGGAGTAATCGTCACTGCGGAACCTCTGCCTTGCTTATAGCCGTTCTCCATTGTTAATCTGTTGTAAAAGGCATGAAATTTAGTTTACTAACAAATTGATAGGAATAAAAAGTATAATTTACCACGACGAACCGTATTAGTATAGATAGGTGAGAGAAGCTGAAACGAAATCAAAGGTAAAGTTTATAATAACTTCCAGGGACGAATCTCATTTCATAATGAGTTAAAGAGCTAATTGCGGACTTGTGAGTTTGTAAACAGTGCACAAGACGGTATATGTGGCCACAAACAAATAATACAATTGACTCGTTCAAACCTAGTAATTGTTCATCGAATTACTGAGATTTTTCTCCGATTCTGTCGATCTAAAACTGAACATGATAATTGTCTACTTTTTCCCAACGCCAAAGCACAACATCTATTTAAAAGTTACGCAGTGAACATCCTCGCTGCAGAGACCAAAATCTTTGCATTTGAATCACTTGATTTGAAACAGTCAGCGACAATGCCTTGTTTACAGATCGTATAGTAAACAAACCCTCCACGTTAAGAATGGTACAAAAACTAAAGTTGTACAGCTGTCAGTTCTGGAGTTTTAATTTCATTAAGAAGAAAAAAACAACAACATATACATTAATCAGTTAATTTTTGGTAATCCAAAGATATCAGGTCTTACCAGCCTCGTTTAAATATCTACTGATCTCTATGGTAGAATTCGTGACGAAAACTCCAACGGACTAATAACATCATTTACATAATTAATACCTTCAACGAGAAGTCAAGAAGCATTTAAACTTTACAAGAGCGGTCAGTTTCTCGTCAATTTGAATTCAAATCTTTCAAAGATTTGTCATGGGGTTTTGGTCCTACGTGATAAAGAAAAATTCAAAAATGAGTAACAATAAAAGTGTCCATATTCCCACTGAACCCCGTTGAACAAATAATTTGCATAATTCAACAGAATATAAGTATTCAAACTTAGTCGTGTTATAATAAGAAAGGACCATTTACGTAGCTGCACAATTTTAATATGCCATAAGCATACTAAGCATTTCAACATTAAACTTTTTTACATCAAAAGACAATCTTCCGTTTCACTTTAGCCAAGTCATGACTATTTTCAGGAACAATTGTGGTCTACTAACAATATCATAACAAAACATTTCATTCCTGTCGCTCCCGCGCTTGCTTACAAAGTAAAGATTTAAATATTAAATAAACTGACGCTTCACAACTCGACACTATTATATTCACATCTCTTTCAAATTGCAGTTAAAGTGTTATTTGAACGATTTCTTCGACAGAAAATAAAAGTTCTTGACAACTCTATATATAACGACATAACTTAGGCAACATTGACGTATGCAAGACTCGCCGAGAGTAAGAGGAAACAAGCTTAAGTTACGACAACGAAATTAAAAACTTACGCTTTGCTCTTCAAAACTTCACAAAAAATTAAATTGGTATTACACGTTATCACTAAGAAAAACAGCTTCAAACATGTAACGATTTAATAAAACGTTGACATGAAGTTCGCAGTTATATTAGACGTTAAGCAAAACAGGAACATCTAAAGCAAACAATACCCACCTTTTGCAACTCTACCCAGCACAGAAACGACAGTTCAGAGATATGTTGGGAATAATTAACTAATCGTTTGAAATCAAGATTGTAAGACATATGCTAACCACAGCGAAACATGGCGGCGTCCGACGATAACCGAAGCGTTCCAGAGTGCTGCGTAACACATACCAAACGTGACTGATATTGTGTCCGTTTAAGTCCAAAGCTACTTGGTTATGCTTCACTGTAATTGAACAAGACAAGACATTCTAATAATACTCACGCGAATTAAATGGGCTCCGTCACGGTCTGCAAACGTCCAAAGTTCGCAATTTGCAATCCGTTTCAATCATCTCCATCTTGTGCCTTCCTTGTTCTTTTTTTAAGTTTCTTATTGTGTCTCTGGCCTTTTTCTTCCTTGCCGCCGTAATATTTTGTCGTCTTCTTCGAGGTGAAAGTATTTTACAAGGCGCACAATGTGGCTCAAAATTTCGTGACAGAACTATTGTAAAATTGCTTTTTAGCGTCGCGGCAGAACTGAATAATCAATTTATTTAACCAAAAGCATGTAACCTTCTAGGGTCTATGCTTTTGATTTAAGTCAATCTTAGGAAACGAAGGTCTTAGAGAGTGCTTTGACAGTCTCAATCCAGAGAAATACTTTTTTCTTTTCCTTAACTTTTAACCGCAGTTTGAAAGCAGCGCTAGACATCTCGTGTTGTGTACTCATAATAAATTATCTCGATATCTTTTGATGCCAGAAGTTGATAGTAGTAATCAATATCAAGGAACTCTTTTATACGAGATGAATAATTAACGCGATCCACGAGAGCTCAGTCATTGAAATATCGAATTGAAAAGTTGAGAAAAGAGTTAATTCTTCATTCTAAGCCTAAAGATCTTATGAAATTCAGCATACGGAGAATGTAAGTGATGAGGCAGGTTGGAGAAGAAGAGTTTTATAGGACGGTAAATCTACAATCCGGGCCCCGGTTGTTCGAAGGTCGGATAATGTTATCCACTGGATAAATCTCTATCCGGTGGATAACACTATACGTTTTGCTATCACTTATCCGCTGGATAGCGATTTATCCATTGAATAGCGTTATCCGCCCCCTATACAACTGGGCCCAGAATGGGTTGTCACAGTTCACATGCTTGAAAGAAAGATAAAAAAAAGACTGGCGCAAATATTGAGTCATTGAAAAACACATGAAAACGTTTACTTTTTTATAGATAACACGAATTTTCACCAAAACTGTTTGAGACAAGCGGATTCGAACTATTTTTTGAAAGTGATCCTCGGGACAGCCACATCTTCTTCCGCTCTATTTGTTCTTCTTCAGAACCATGATAACATATTTGCGCGATGTACAGTCATACACTTTAACAGCATCGCTTCAATAAGTGCAAAAAAGGACTTTCCTTAACACGTGGCGGAGGAGGGGGGGCAGACTCGAGAGGGTCTGAGCAATTTTTGAGAATTCTCTACACCCGTAATGTTTGCATAAGGCCACAGAATCGCAGAAAAAAGTCTTCTGGCTGCAGCTCTAATGAATAATTTCTCTTCTCATCGATTGTAACACGTCACAATCATGTCTTGTGAAGAAACGGAACACGAATCTCAGAAATGAACCTTGCAAACCTTAAGAACTGAACCTTGCGAACCTTAAGAATGGAACCTTGCAAATCTCAAGAACTGAACCTTGCAAACCTTAAGAATAGAACCTTGAGAACCTTAAGAATGGAGCCTTGCGAACCTTAGGAATGGAACCTTGCGAACCTTAAAACGAGTGCATTTTTCGTGTAACAAGAGTGCAAAGTTGTAACACGACTGCAAATTATAAATAGTACGCGTCTTTACTTTCTGCGATGCTTTTTCATGTAAATTTATTAGCAAGTAACAAAATGATTTCTCGTGCAATTTAGTGTAATTAAGCGCTTGTCTTTGAAAGTTTACTCGTATTTATTAACACCAAATTACACTCGCAATCATGTTGTTACCTATACAAAAATGGTCATCGCATTTCGTTCCCAGACCCCAATAAGCTGTGGCCACCTGGTTACATTGTGACTGTTGGAGGTGAAGGTATATTGTAAGCCATAATTAACTTTCTAAGACTCATCTTCTTTAAACTAAATTTTTCTTTATTAACAGTAAATATAATGCATCATATTATTGACGAATATCTACGACACAGAAAACTAAACAGTTTTAATAAAATTAAAAAGCTAAAGCCTAATTTGCGTAGACATTTTCAAAAGCAATCTCCTTTTCAAAATTGGTCTGAATCAAATCGTTGACAAATAATTTTCAAACAGTTTTTGAAAGCATTGATTGATAAAAAGTGATAAGAGATCAAGAAAAAGTTCTCACTTAAGAAGGAGAGCCAGTCGAGAACTTTCAACATTTTTGACTTTTTCAACCGAGTGGGCCATTTCTGGGTTCCCACGAATCCTTTTTTTTTTTTTGATTGAGCCTTTTTGCCAAACCTCAGTTTAGTATGTCGGAATGAGTCGTATCTACTCAAAAACAACAAACCAGATTCTTATCAAAGAGTATGCACTTGCCCTCGTTCCCCAAACAGGCTTGAAAAACACGGAAATGGTATTTAAAACTATGCGCTTTACTCTACGTCCTCCTGAAAAAGCTCTTTGGTCAAAATATATCACTTTGTAGTCAAATTCATATCATTTCACTACAACCAATTTGAGTGGGATTTTTCTTGCAAGCAATGTATGCTGTAATATGTTCCTCTAAATAATCTAACGGAAATTCTCCTTCACGGAAAATCTCGTAATGAAAATCTTTCAGCGAAAATTCGTTGCCCAGCTCCTTCTCGGCCATTTTCCTGACACGTTCAATTTCCAAATGACCAATCATGTAACTCGTTACAAATCCTGGCATGCTTTGTATTCGTCGTATGTCTTTGTTGACTTGGTTGTTATTATCTTCCCATACGTACTTGCGGTACAACTCTCGTATTTCGCTCACTTGTTTCCCATAGAAGTGTAAATCGATGTCAGCCATAGCTCTGAGGGCGTGAAGTAACTGCAAAGAATAAATCATGCAAAGTTATTGAGTCCTTTAAAAAATTATGTATTTTTCACGTTTTGCAACTGGTGTGCATAAGTTTTACAATTCTAGTGATTGGCTCTTGTTCAGATTAAGTCAAATTCTTCACAAGCAAGGTTCCACTCCTTACACGTATGTTTGCCGTTCCCCCTCCATAGAAAATAAACTTACCTGATAGTATAACATGCCATATTTCTGACGCAGAATTGTTTTGTTTGTTTTAGAGCTGTAAAGTGTTGTGTCCTCTGGATAAAGCTGGTCCTCTGCATAAGCAGCCCAACCTTCTGTTATAGCTATAAAGTAGTTTGGGGCGTTTAACCAAGCAATTGGGTCTTTACAGTCACTTCGGAAATATTCTGTGAAGCTTTGAACCTGGCGGTGAAACATAACGTGCATATAACTTGTTAAACTTATTTTATAGCGGAGCTCGAAGCGCGCAGCAAAGTCCAATACTTATCAGTAATGGTAGTGAAACAACGTGAAGAACTATTCGCCGTACATCACAACAAAACGAAATTTGTAAATGAAAGTGATCCTCGCAGTAATGTGCACTACTTAGGCAGTAGTGAAAATAAGGCCTGAAAAAAATTCAGGCCTGTACGGGATTTGAACCCATGACCTCTACGATACCGGTGCAGCGCTCTACCAATTGAGCTAACAAGCCAACTGGGAGCTGGTCATGAAGTTGGTACTAAATAAACCCGTGAAGTGATGAATAAATGGTTAAGAATATATGAAAGTCATATATTTGAACTGCGGATAAGGACGTGAATGAAAGTGATCCTCGCAGTAATGTGCACTACTTAGGCAGTAGTGAAAATAATAATGTGTAATAATAATAATAATGTTATAATGTATAATAATAATGTGCACATTACTGCGAGGATCACTTTCATTTACGTCTTTATTCGCAGTTCAAATATATGACTTTCATATATTCTTAACCATTTAAAACGAAATTTTTCGTTTGGTTGATACTGCTTCGAGCCTTGATCAGAGACAAATGAAATCCTCTCTCAAATGTGTTCAGTGTGTGTCGGCTGTCTATTGGTTTGTCTTTTCTACTAAAAGATATATCTCAATTTGACTCCCTTTTCACTGTCACTAAAATCCGAGGGCTATGTCATGAGCCAAGAGATCACAAGTTGTGGTTTCAGATCAAGCGCGAAATTTTGTTATTTTCACAGAATGTTCACAACCTTGGTTGTACCACACAAAGCAAACCCTCGTTGCGACACTATCCCACGACTTTTCGCGACATGTTGCGTCGATTTGACGCCACATGTGATTCATACTAAAAAACAATATCGACTTTATGAAAGAAAGGCACGTCTCGGCCATTAGTTGCCTCGCGTAACCCTTTCTAAAATCTAGTAAATGGAGTATAAAGGAAAGATTTATGGAAGCGATTTGTCGCGTCGAGTAGCCCGTTCTGGAGACCGTTATTGGGTGTGCGGTGGATTAGGTGTCTAAGCCAAGGCTTACCTCGACGTGATGTCCCGCAAATTCATGTATCATAGTGGTATATTCAGTCCATTTTGGCCCAAAATTTTCGACAAAAAAGGGCAGGATCTGCTGCGCTTTGTATGAGCAGTCTTTGTTGCCAATGAAATAGGCTTGAAATACAGAATGAGGATGATACCAGGCTTTGATGTCCACAGGACATTTTGGAATACAATTCTTTGGACCACTGTCATATAAAAAATTCTTTAAATATGGTTTGATTATGCTGTTAACCTGCGGGAATAAAGAATTCATGTAAGAAACGAGTGCGGTATTCAAAAAAAAAACAACAACAACAACAACAACAAAAACGAAGTAAGGAAAAGATTAGTATCATGAAAGTGAGCAGATTCAACCGCGCTTCTTATTTTTTATGGCTTTTAGGGGGGAAAACCTAATTGAGCAAGTGGGTGGGCTAAGTTAGCGGACCATCGCTTTTGCTCTGAATTGTCACTCATCCTTAACAGCCTTCCAAAGCTACTTGCCTCTTTTGAATTTTTTATCCAAGCCTGCATTGCTTTGTATCGTTTGGGGCAATAAGCCTTGGCGCTTGCGTCGTCATGACATTTGATAAAGGCATCGTCGCTGGTCTCATTATCAGGGAAGGGTTTGTCGTTAAAGTACATTTTCTGTTCCTGCATTTCTCTTGTAAAAGCGTTGATGGCAGACACGTTGTTCTTGATACCAGTGTAATCTTGAGCCAGTTTCTCAACCTGGTTTATTGTTTAGAGAGAAAAAAAAAACTCTTACGTTACCTTAGGTTTTGTAATATGGAAGTAGTGAAATTTACTGAGGGGGCAGGGGAGGGGGGCTTTTTATGAGTATCTTGAAGCCTGTCATGTCCTCAAAAGACAACAGTGTAGGCCACTCCTCCTTCGGCTTCCGATTCTGCTATTTTGAATGTTACTACTCCCTCTATCCTACGGAGGAGCTTCCGAAAATAAACACGACAAGTAACAAGTATAGTTTTCGAGGAATAAGCGTTTGTTGTTTGCCCAAGTGGAGAAAAACCGTTGGAGAAATTTTCCACAGGTAACATGTAATATAAGTTTAGTTTCACAACAGTCTCGCCTAATAATTTGCGCAAACATATTTTGCCTTTGCAAATTTTCTTGTGTCACCATATGGTCGAGGAGATATGAGTACCTGAGTTTATCACAGGTTGTCGATGAAACAGCATAGTGTACTGGGCTCTTAAAGTTTACCTGTGGATATAGTTCGTTCAAACGTTCTTGAGTCTTTTTCCTTAGCTTCTCTGCCGTGATATTAAATGTTGTAAAAAATCTCATCAGTGATTTGTATGTATCACTTCCCTGGAGTGGCTCATTAGTGGGGAGTTTCTGCATTGCCGGTTGGTTGGTGTCAGCGGCTAAGTTTTTGTACACATAAGGTAGAGGCAATTTTTTTAGACCGCTGACCACTGTCTCTGGGGCGCAGTTGCTCAGGTGTTCTCCTTTCACATATCTGGTGTGGAAAATAAAAAATGGAGCAGTTTAACATTGCATTGATTTTACTTTGGCACATATCCGTGTAGGACAAATAAGGTGGTCCTCCCCCTCCCCGATGTGGGGGAAACAGGGGTAAAAATACGCTCTACAATTGGTCTTGAAAACTTGTGACCCGGAAAATCGCGTTTTCCGGTGCTTAACGTCGTTTCATGTATTTACTTGTAGTTCTAATTGGTTCCTTGAGTTGCTGAGCTTTTCAGTGATTGGTTGTAGCTTCATCAGTTGTTGTTTTCCCTCACTCAGAGCTCTGATCAAAGGACTGCAAAAATATTTGCAGTGGGATGAGAAATTTCAGAATTGTAATCAAATCCAGAAATAACTCAAAGTTCTTTTACGAATCAAATAGGTATTTATGTGTTGCTCATATTTAACAGACCCGACATGATAGGGGAAAGATGTGAAACAAACCGTAGCATTTTTATAGTCGCGTTTCCAATCTTCGTTACGAGAGAGCGCTTGAAGTAAGCCGCAACATCTTCTTTGTATTCGTCTTTCCATTTTTTCTTGTCACTCTTGGACAATTTGTCGTAGAATTTGTCAGATTGAACCTCTGTTGAGAAATATTCTTTGAAGACACCTATGACGAAAGATATATGTGAAATGATGAAGATTTTGAACGATACCAGACGCACTCTAATCAGTGTATAAAAACCTGATAGTAATGCTTGGAATTGCACCCTTCATCATTGCATTTTGAAATTACTAAGTTTTGATTGAATTTGCCAACATGGAATGTGGGTCATCACACCAGAGAGCGACTTTCGGCAAAAGCGGAGATCCAATTGAAAGCTAGTTTTTCAAGATAAAGCTCTGTAAAAGAAGAAGACGAGAAAGTAGTCGTGTGAAGACCTTGTTTCAAAGAAAATTTGTTCTTTGCGGACCCAGTTGGACATGGAGATTATAGAAAACTGCCAGCATGGAAGAGAAAGAACTGATTAATAACGGGCTAACCTATCGCAAAAATCTAAAAGATCATATTGTAGTCCCTTGCACATTGTGTACAGCTGTTTATAGAATGGTTGTCGGAAAAAGGGACTAAGTCGCGCGAAAGGCAATCTGGGTATCCGGTAATCAACAACCATTTATAAGTAAACAAATAAATTTGGACAAGGACCAATCAACAGGGGATAAATACCGACATGCACTTGGATATGAAAGGAACAGAACGATAGAATGTTACGTTGTAAACATTTTTCTTTAGAGCACTCGAATTTGCTTGCGTTAAGCTTCCATCGTTTTCGTCATTCAGCAGGGTCAGCTCGTTCTTTTTCTCCCTAACGTTTTTCATCAATTTTAGAATAAAAAGTCAGTCCTACGAACAAAAGAAATTAATCAAATTCGCTATGCCCCTTCGATAAAGCGATGTTCTCTCAAATTTCTCTGAATACTGAGACACTGGTCAAAGAACCGTGACCTGAAAACTACCCACAATGCCTTCTGTATTTGTCCCGTTCACTTTTTCCGACAACTTCTCTGCAACAACTGTAGATGAGTTAAAAAAGATCCCCACCTGTTTCGTTTTCCAGAGCAATATTTCGATAAGAAAAGTACTGCAAGTTGTGCAAGCCAACCTCACAAGCTTCCTTGTTTCGCACGTACCCAGTTCGTACGCCCAGTTTTAAGTTTTCGATGTATGTCTCGAATGTCTCGTTGACCTGATCAAAGAGCTCGTCCAATTTTTTCAAATCAGTTAAATTATGTGGCTTGAAATACCCGATCACTGCACTCAGATGTGCGTATACCTGGCAAATAGGTTGCCAACAGAAAACGTCAGGTCCTAACATCCAGTCCCCCGCGTAGTAATTTTGTCCTAAAGGCGCCCAGTCGTTATTATTCAGTAATATTGCCTTAGCAACGTGAACAGCCTTTCTTTCTCGAATCTTTAGTAACGTCGTGTTGATCTTTAAAGAATTCAGTTCTGAAAGTAGTTTCATTGCCGTGTCTGTTTTGTTCTTAATAGTGTTCGGGCTCGGGTCCCACGGTCGGAACGTCGCTCGAATTTCTTCGGGCTTTACTCCGGGTTTCCTGTATATCCTCTCGGGCCATAACACTCGGAAATACTCTGTTTGAATTTTCTTCAGAGTCGCTGTCAGTTTGGAGCTGTTTGACTCCGCAGAGAGAATGCACCTAGTGGACACATAAGGTGGTTTTCGGTCTATACTTGTAGCAAACATGAAAATTAGGAGGAGGATGATGCAAATCAAGACCGGAAGGCCGATGATAAGCAGATTCACGAGCCAACCTCGTGATTTTCCGAGACTGCCCGCTCGGTTGGGTTCGGGAATAATCCCAACAGTGGCTGCGCCGTCAGTTCTGTGGTAGCTATTGTCCATTGGCGATCTCGATTCCACGTACTTCAACATTTTGCAGCAAGCTTAGAAATCTGCAGATAGTAACCCGTAGTAACAGTAAAATTCTTGATGTGCAGTTAAGTAATGCCCATGCACTTTGAAATTACTTAATCTGCTTCGAAACTTTGTGTGGGCTTCCTGCGCAGCTCATTCATTTACACGAGCGCTTTACTGAAGCAGTACAGATAAATGCCAAACAAAATAGATAATCTGAAGCTCAAAGCTGGCTACTGACTCAGTAAATGTCATTTTGTAATTTTTAACTTTTTTGCCATGGTTGACTGTTCAAAGGAATTTTTCGGTCGCGTGACTGCCGTAATTTTGGGTTCTGACTCTTCTGAAATGTAGAAACAGGCCTCTGTATATTTCATCATGATGAATCATTAATATGCAAGTTGCGCCGTTTTGGACTCGGAGCTGCACAACAATGATTAAAATAAATAAATGAAATTGTCTGTGCAACACTGTGACCGCAAAGATTAATCAACAACTAACAACACCTCTATGTACAACCGAACAGAACAGATTTTTTAACACAGTACCAAATTCCTCAACACGATTTCCTCTTCACTGCAAGGTAATAACTTTTAAATGTTAATTGCTTATAAAAGTGAATTAACCTCCATACCGTTGCAAAGCTTACTTTGTTACAAATGTACAGATGACAGCGACTTGTTTCGGTCATTCCAATAGATGGCGTGCAACTTGCAATTCCATCGCATGATGGAATCGTCATTAGAAAGGTGATCACAATACATCGATAAACATTTCGCAAAGAACATAAATGCAAATTTCTCATAGCGCGATCACCTGACCTCAATTACAATTTTTTGCAACAGGCTTAAAAACTGTTTCACTTGATGACATGCAGACGTTTGCGATAGCATGTAGAATTTGGGTAAATGTTTTGTCATTTTACTCGACACTATTTAATGTTTGTGAAAGACCCTGTTGACGAAATTATTATTTACGATTTCAGGAACGCCGTCTACCCGTGTTGTGTAACACTTACCTCGAAATGAACTAAGCAAACGTCGGTTATCGAAACTCTCGCTCTGTACTAAATGAAGAATCTAAGAAGGAAAGCCTTTCAGCTATTTATCAAACTAGCTCTGAAACTTAGCCAGTTTCCTTCTTAAAGCTGAAACGATAAAAACAGCCTCGTCATGGGACCTTGGCGTCCTTTCTATGAAACAAGAGCATTATCTATTATTGTAATTTCAATGCCATAATTTATCTGCAAGAGTGAGTAACAACAATTGATGTTGTATTTTTGTTTTTAATTTCTTACGAAAGACTGAGCTAACACAATTGCCTCTGCCTTGTTGATTAATGCAGTAAGCATCAGTCTTATCTAGCGGTCTTCGCATCAAAAGGAGCTTGCTCCATGTTCATTAATAAAATTTCATTTTGATACAATCCCATTGCGATGGCCCCTCACTTTGCTCACGTATATTAACGGCGTCGCAAAGCAACTGATCCATCCACATCAGGGAAAGAATGTCGGTGAAAACATTACTTTCTCTTTCTATGTGAAAGAGGTTTACGGAGGACGCCTTAAACAATCTTTTTAGAAGCAAGCATTAAAACGAGTGACGAGAGGTGACGATCAGAAAAGTCTTTAACGTTCGAAGGAGGAACCGGTCAAGTTCTTTCCATATTTTTGTGGAAAGTAGTTGAGTAAGTATTTGGAAAGTATTTGGCTTGTTCAACTGATGGGCCACTTCTGTATTCCATGAGCCTTCACTTTCACAAACATTTATTGTTAAACTGATTCTTACTTGCGTAAGGACAAAAAGTCAGTTTCTCATCCTAGAATAAGCGCCCGTCCACGGTTCGAAACAGAGGCTTAATTTAGCAGCACGGAAATCAGCCTGTTAAAAGTATGCGCTTTTCTCTATCTTCTCCAGAAAGAGCTCTTTAGTCAAAATAGATCGCTTTCTGGTCAAATTCATAACGGTTTCTTACAGCCAATTTGCTATACTCAATGGGACATTCAGTCTATTTTGGTCCAAAATTTTCAATAAAAAACGGCAGGATCTGCAGCGCTTTGAAAGAGCAGTCTTTGTTGTCAATGAAATAAGCTTGAAATACAACACGAGAGTGATATCAGGCTCCGTTGTCCACAAGACATTGTGGAATGTAAAACTTCGGACCATTGTTGTACAGAAAATTCTTCAAACGTGGTGCAATCATGGTCTCAACCCGGAAGGAAAATGAATGTCACATGAAAACCAACACCATCATACCAAAAACAAGGAATAACATAAAAAAATAAGGAAAAGATTAATATCATGGAAGTGAGTAGGTTCAATCGCGCCATCTAATTTCTATGGCTTTTAGGCGGACACCTAGTTGAGAAAGGGGATGGGCTTAGCCAGCGGGCCACCGCTTTCGCTCTGAATCGTCACTCAGCCAGTCGTTTCACCTACGAGTCGTTAGGTATCAAATCGACTTTCAATTTGCATTGAAACGACCTAACTCTCTCTTGACCTATTGGTCGATCACGAGTCGATGAAATCACCAAACGCTTTGTAACACTTAAGCGAAACTAGTGAACGGACCCCGTTGTTCGAAGGGGGGGGGGGGGGGGTGACGCTATCCACTAGATAAATATCTGTTCGGCGGATAGCACTTTACGTGTTGTTAACATTTATCCATGGGATAGTCATTTATCTCGATCCGCAGTAGACTTTTATCTAATCTTTGAACAACTGAGCCCTGATCGTCAGCGAAACGATCTCAACTTGTTAATACAGTTTGATTCTGATCCAATCATATTGCAATGGTTTCTCACCTTTCTTGCGACTATGGTGTCACAAAGCAAAAGCCTTATTCCCGGAAGTTATTTCTCAGCAGAAACTGTCTTGGAACGGTCCACTTTGTATGGGTATCGTTTCTAGGAAGTTTTAACGAGAGCTGTTAACGGATTCTCGTTATTTTAGTCTTGAATCGGGTTTAGGTTTTGAGGGAAAAAGGACAGCATAAATACACATTTTATTTATTTATTTTCAAAGCGAAGAAAAGAACAGATAAGGAAAAGTAACCTAAGCTGAATTTCTGGTTGAATTAAAAGAATTCTTAATACCTATAACTGATGGAAAAATAAGAATGGCGGAGTACATAATCTGCAGAGACAAAATTGGTAATAACAAAGAACAAAGTTCTTAGCTGCGAGGATCTTCTAATTTCATCTTTCCACCGCAGTGCAAATATGTGAATTTTCATATATCTAAAATCTTCATTCACTCGGATGTTTATTTGTACCCAATTCATTGACCAGCTCCCAGTTGGCTTGTTAGCTCAATTGGTAGAGCGCTGCACCGGTATCGCAGAGGTCATGGGTTCGGTTCCCGTACGGGCCTGAAATTTTTTTCAGGTCCTACTTACAACTACTAGTTTCAGTAGTGTTCTTAGCTGCGAGGATCTTCTAATTTCATCTTTCCACCGCAGTGCAAATATGTGAATTTTCATATATCTAAAATCAACAAAGACATTAGTATCTCTTTTATTTACAGGGCGATTTCAACACTGCTGATCCTAGCTGTAGACAGGACGCGTATTTCATATGGACGTTGTATTTGCCAAGCTCACTTTAGAGACTCTGTGGCTCAGTGACAGAGCATCGGAGCACAAATTCGATGGTCTACAGATTCCATTCCTCGTTGGGGACTCAAACACAATCTTTCCTCAGACGACGGCCGACCTCAAAATTGACAAATGATATTTCTATTCTATTTCTACCTATTTGTTTATGCCTTCTCCTTTTTCACTGTCATCATTATGATCTTTTTGAACAGGAAATTGCTTTTCGCCTAATCCCTGTACAAAGTATGTTTCCTTTCCGGTAGGAAATTATTATCGTCTGAGACGGATCCTGTTATCCAGTGGTAATACTGAAAAGCATCATTTAAGATGTATAGAAAGCCGTATATAGTTGTGATATAACACAATATATGTGAATGAAATGAAATTTTAGACAATATTCTTTGTACTGTATCGCCGCCTTTAATGTCAAAGTTCCTTTCAATAGGTTGATTGAAGCTTTTGGTTTATTTTGCTAAAGCTCCGAATCTTGTCCCAACCATGCAGTTTAGATTATTGATATTATAATTTTTTTTTCCTGGAAAACATCAGACAACCTTGATCATGTTTGTCTTCTATTCGATCAAAACTCTCGCTCTTTTTTAGGCACAAATGGTCAAAAAATATCTTGAAAACCGACTTTTAACGATACTTATCACCTTTTTATAGACAAGTTTGCTGACGTCAGCTTGGGTACTTTAAAGCGATTTTTGGTAGGAAATTAGGCCCAGGAAAGTTCTTTCCAATGCGCATTTTCTCACTTTCCTATCTGAAATTTCCTTTGACAGAAATGAATCGTGCCTTAATTAAAAACATTCTTAAAGGAGGTGTTTCATGGTATCACTAAAACCATCCGCATTAAAGAAAATATGCAGGTGAAAACATTAGTTTTTAAAAGATTTTCCAATGCTTCTTGGTCAACTCCCTTCTTTTTCTTTTTTTCTTTTTATTTTTGCTTATCGTCATGTGTTAGTCGAATACTTTTTCTCACTAGAAATATTTTAAACCGCTCATCTTCAAACTGCAGTATATTTGTTTAAGTGATAAGACAGCAACAAAAAAATCGATTTATGTCATATTTTCATCGTTCTATTACCCTTGTGAATTTTCAGTTCGCTCTGTGTGTTGGTTGGATTTTCTTTGTTTGAAATTTCTTTCCTACATATCTTTATTCCGATGGGAAATGAAAGCTCTACTTTTTCCTGTTCAAACCACAGTATTTTTTCTGGCGAAACGTAAGCTTTCGACCTTGTCGCCTGACGAAGATATGCAGTATGGCACTCGAAACGTTGCGATCAATAAACGATTAATTACCCTGACTCCTGCATCGTGATACAAACAATTAAACGTTTATTTACCCGAAAAAAACACCATGAACAATAGCATTTTCATCAGTTCTATAACAGTATTTTTTTTCTCTTCATGAAACCCCGCCCTGATTATACTGATCACGTCGCTTTCGTTTAGCCCAAATATTCGAAAAACACCATTTTGCCCAAGTTGTCATCAGTGTGTTTACAACCGGCTACTCTTTGTCAGCGTGTGTACTCAGTAACGTGTTTTTTTTTCTTTTTTTTGAAAATGACAGGTTCGCTGTGATCATGGTTCGGTTAAAGTCGTTACGCATAGTTCAGAATATCCTGATCTACACGATTTTCTTTTACCGTGGACGCTACTTGGCAATCAAAATCAGTGGTTCTGATAGGGTCCTTGCCAGTTTGACAAGCATGCACCTGGCCATTTCAGTTTGATTCGAAGTCTCTTGCATGGAAGACAAGAAAAATATGTTGATGTGTGTTTCGTTTGTTTGGTTTGTCAGTATTACTTTGACAATAATATCCTCCATTCCGTTGCTGGTTGTCGATCTTTCAGGTTCTCAAGCCACGTAGGGAATACAGAGCTGAGTTCCTTTGGCAAGGAAAGATTTTTGTTGCAGGGAGATCTTTGTTGTTTGTTATCTAAAAACTATAGTTTGTGACATATTGTTATGATTTAGGGAGAGGGTAAATTGAGCATACATGCCATACAAAACTATTGTTATTTACAATAGCTGCATGTGTCGCTTGCCATACCCACTTGTCATGTCTACAGTTGACACCCGAGGCTCAGAACTGGATAGGATTCTCAAGCATCGTTAACCAAATCATATACTTTTCTAGATTACGACGATGTCGCCGAGCCATCAAGACGTTCCTTTAAGAGACACATTTGGAAAAGATGACCTCAAAGAGAAGCCATCGACCCATCCATTGCAATTTTCGAGTCAAGAGAGAAGAAAACTCGGCAAGATCAGAGTACGCTGATAAAAGACTAAAGGAATCCGACAATACTTGCGCCTCACCCTGTCAGTGTTGAAAGCCATGGCAAAGCGCTGATTGGTATAGCGGTTTCGTCAGAAGATTTAGAACAAAATTTGTCTCTTGGCAGTGGAGAGGGAATTGGGAGACAATTTAAGAGGGCGGATAAGAGGATCCCTCAAGATTTGAGGTTTGATACTCGAAAACCATTTTCTTTCAAGGATCTTCCAATGAGCGTTAATTTAGAGGCAAATACTATGGATTCAGGAATCATAAGAATGTTGGAGGAGGAATTAATGA